TAGTTTTCATTTAATTTAGTCAATACTTTGCATCCCGTTTTGCCAAGTGGATGCCCTGAGTCCTGAAAAAGAGATATTTGGGTCTTTTAATGAAATTTTCCAACCATTGATAAATACCGTTGCAATTTATTATGCCATCTTCTGGCAGATAGAATGACACTCAAAAGTTGGCAAAAGCAAGTGAAAAGATTATAAATACCATTAATTTAGTTACCATGGGAAGAGATGGGGAAAACACAAGAACTAGCCTTTTAGCACAGAGGGCATGCTCACTAGTGTTTAGTAAGCTGTTGACTTTGTATAAAAAAGGAGGAAAAAAAAAAAACAGAAAAAAAAAGAAGAAAAAAAAAGAAAAAAGAAATTGTATATTTAATGAATGAACATGTACAATTTAACACTTGGAGGTTAATTTTATTGGGTGAGTCTGCAAGTGAATTTCACTGATGTTGATATTCATTGTGTGTAGTTTTATTTCAGTCCCCAGACTGCTTCCTTTTCTTTTGGAGCTAATGCCAGCCGCGTGTCTAGTTTTGAGTGCAGTAAAGATAGAATCAGCAATTCACACTTAATTTTACATTCTTTTCCAGTATTTTATTTTGTTTCTGTAGCCGCAGTGTACAACTCCTCTTCCTGTATATTGCCTTTTTTTGCTGGAAAATGTTGTATGTTGAATAAAATTTTCTATAAAATTTTTTTCGATGAGTGATGACATGGACATTGAAGAAGATTTCTCCTCTCCTTGGAAATAGAGTTTTGGGAAATGTTTTCATTCGTGAGATTTTGCTAAAGGTGTGGTTTTTTTCCTTAAGTGTTGACAATTGTATAATCCTCGTTGTTTTGGGGGAAACTTTGTGGGGTTTTCTGTCTAATAGTTTTGGGTTTTGGAGGTTTTTTTGGGTTTTGGTTTTTTTACCTCCTAACTGGTCACATTTGAGCTTAACAAATAAAAGGTTTTCCAGGAAGGAGCCATGTACAAATAAGACAAACGGAAAAATTATTTTACTAGTTCGTTTGTAAAGCTTGTAGTAGAGTCTTCGTGGTAGACTGGACTCTGCCTACCTGTACAAAATTTTGTGGTCCAGATTCTCAAGTCTAATATTATAAATGGTGTAAAGTGAAATCTGGAGTCTCTAAAGGTAAGGTCTCTTCATAGAGTAATAGGTTCCCTCCGTAATGTGTTCCCTGTATTCATAACCAAAACAGAAAGTGCAAGTTTTAGCTATGTTTGGTTTTCTTTTTAGTTTGTATCTTGCAGTGCTTTTTAACTCTTTCTTATTTCCAGTCAAAGCAAACTAGTTGTTTACTTTTTTTTATCTCTGAGTGTGTAGGTTAGCCGTAGAGGGAAGTGCTTGACTGGCATGCCTTAAGTGGAGAAAGTTTTCCTTTGGTTTGTATTTCCATCAAGCTGGTGAGAATTACACCGTCCAAGTGGTGGTTCAACTGGTACTTGGATTGTCTCTACAGGCTTTCAGTATATGTCAAGATTTGTTTTCAGACTATTTCTGTGAAATCAGAGGCAGTAGTAAGCCCTAATTATATTTTGTGAATTTAGTGTTATGGTAGACTGATATAAAATTGAGCTTGTATATGAATGTCACTACGTTTTCACATTAATTTATGGGATGTTGGCAGCTTTTAGGGAGTATCTTAAGAAATCACAAACCTTCCTATTTCAGAAGAAAATGCCGCTAACAAAGTAGATTTTGGGTGCCTTTTGGTTTCTAGAGGACTAGATTTTATGTGCTGCAGTATTTGTGCTATTCCCACACTAGTTTAAAGAAGTCGATACTTTGAGGCATTCCATATGCAGTTTTCAGTAACTGAAGGATTTTATGGGAAAAAAAAGTGGTTTTGGAGCACAAGTAAACTTGTTATTCAAATGTGGAAACACACCTATGAAGAGAAGAGGAGGACAGGAGGTTTTCTCAGGTGCAGTATGTTTGTTTAGTTCATTCTAAAAAATTTACAAAAACACAGTCTTCAAAATTGCCATGCTTTCCATTTCCTTATTCAGATTTTGGAACTATCTGGGTAATAGACAGTGAATGCATTAAATTAAGCTAATGGTAATATAAATGTTAAGCAATAAGGATGTAATTTCATGGTACAAAGCATCAGAGCAAGGCGATGTTAACGGCCCATCTGAATCCTCCCCGCGCCAATAGCGAGCGTTGTTCCTGTAGATTTACATAGTGCCTTTTATCCTAAAGGAGTCCAAAGCATTCTGTGAAATCTGAGCAAATCAAACCAGTGACATAGTTGCTGACTAGAGAGTGACAGCCAGCTCAAGCACCCTTTGTACGACAAGGGACAAGTCCGTGCTGCCGCAGGACGCGTCGGAGGGCCCGGCCGATGAGCAGAGCGCGAGTGCCTCCCGCATACTGGATCTACCTCAGCTGCTGCCCCTCCGGAGCTGACGTGCCAGCAATCCCACCCCAGCGTCCCGCCCGGCATCCACCGGAGCTCGGAGCAGCCCGAGGCGCCGTGCTGGCTGCGGGCGGCCGTGCCCAGAGCTAAGCTACGCCGTGGTTTTGCTATTTAATATCCTCTGTGAGAAATCGTTTTCTGTAGGAACCTGTACATATTGTAAATAAAATAGCCCGGGGTAAACGCTGCGTTGGTGTCTCGTGCCTTCGTTTTGGAAGCGGGTTGGGAGCGATAGCGGATGGGTCGCTCGGAAGTCAGGGTGATTTTTGGTTAGGTCAAATAGATAAATTATACTAAAACTCAGTCAAATTGTGTGTCAGGAATGAGAAACTGTAGGAGGAGCTGGTCAGAAGGTACATGCTGACTTGCACATCAGTTTCCAAGTTTTGAACCCTTGTTTTTTTCTCAAAGGAACGAAAACATTCGGATTTTGAGGTGGAGAATGTTGGATGTTTGGTGTGTGAGCAGTGGGGTGTCATTTACTGTTGGCTTTCAAACCCACCTGGTCTTTAGGGTCAGAAAAGGGGGAAGTGTTCACATGTGATATGTCCAAATCTGGCTTCAAATCTGTGTTCAACGTAATTGTGTCCCAGGTAATGTTGAAGTTTGCTGTGTACCAAGCACTGCAGCAAATGAAATTTGCTAACCTTCAGGCTGTGGCTGGAAGCCTTTGTTTTTTATTAAATAGTTGTGTAAACTATTGTACCTGTAAAAAGTTATGTAAAAGTGTCCTAACTACTGTTAAATATCTCCCGCACGTCTTAAATCATATATATATAATTCATTTGTATATTCATGTGGGTGTGGGTTTTGCACCCTTCCTGGTAAATGTTACCAACTTGATGTGTTATTTACCACTACTTAACAGCAAAGCTTGCTGTTCACAGCCAGATTTTAAAATGGAGAAGAATCCTAACATCTTGAAAAAATGTGTGAAATGGTACAAAACCTCTTGGGCTGACATCTGCATGGCTGCCTGTGGGGGTGATGATTGTGGTAGTATTTTCCATCAGGTCTGAGTGTAGGTTGGGTGACCAGAGGAGGTAGAGTTACTGACCCTTGGTATGGAATGAAGGCCAGGGCTCTGGGAATTGCCTGGGTTGAGGAGGCTGGGCGGTGCTGGATCCCGGTGTCATGTAGGACAGGGAAAGTAGTTGTTTAAAGTTTTTGCTTATATTGATTCAAGTGTGTTTTTTTCACGTCTCACAGTGTGAAGACTGGAGTTCTGTACTAGTTGGAGCCAAAAGCCGTGCACATACCCCCCCCAGTTTAGTTAAAATGTGGGACCAGCTCACTAGGGGTGGTTTGTCCATTCTGAGATGTGGGACCAGGCAGTTTGCAATGCAGACGGTGCTGGGTGGTTTAGGATGACGGGGCTGGTGGGCAGTGCCATTCCAGGAGCTCATTTCTATGGCCACCTTCACACCCGCAGCATCCAACACCCGGTACCTGCCCTGTTCGGACCTGCCCTCGCTGTGTGGTAGTGCCAGGTGATGGAGGAGAGACAGTGGTACCCCTGCCAGGGGTCCCCTGTCCCAGTGCCACTGTCTCTGTCCTTGCCCCTGACCCTTCCTGGTGTCCCTATCTCTGTCCCCTGTTCCTGCCCAGTGTCCCCTGCCCCTCCCCACTGTCCCTGTCCTTGCCCCGATATCGCTGACCCTGCCTGATGTCCCTGACCCTCCCTGTAGCCACCTGTCTGCCCGGTGTTCCCTGACCCTGCCTGGTATCCCCTACCTCTGCCCAGTCCCTGATCTTTCCTGATATCCCCTGACCCTGTCCAGTGTCCCTGACCCTGCTTGGTGTCCCCTGTCCCTGCCCATGCCCGGGACTGCTGCCCTTGCTGGCCAGGGGTTGGTGTGGGGGGTGCCTCAGCCCCCCGTGCTGAGGGGCCGGTGATCCCGAACAGCTGCTGGGGGACCTGCTGGTTCGTGGCTAAAACTGACCAAACAGCCAAACCACAGCGTTTCTTCTTCTGTTTTTCCAGCCAGCAGTAAGTAGCAGCAGCTAGTGCTGCTGCTGTCAGTGTTGAGCAGGGTCTGGACATCTCCTGCGTGTGTAATTGGAGATATTTGATTTCACAAGATAAGTGGCTTTAGATGAGAACTGTAAAAGTTCTCTGTAAAGTCTAAAGCCTATCAAGTCCTGGTTTGGGAGATGATGCGTCGCAGTGGGAACGCAGAGAGGTAGAATGAGGGCCTTGTATTGTGGTTGTGGTGATTCTTTTCAAGCTGTGCTTGCTGATTTTTGTTCTTTGTGTGTTTGCCTTTTGTATCTTGATTTGTTATTGTAAAAGGGGTGTCCCAGTGTGACCTGCATCCCTGCTCTGGGGGCAGCAGGTCATGGAAGCAATGCAGACAGGAGATGTTTTGCCAGCATTGTTAACAATAACACATTTATTTTCTTACCTCATCTATAACAGAGTAAAGACAGTCTCATAATTTAGCATTTTGTTAATAAATAATCAGCTACACTGTACCACCCACAGCCCTGCAGGGGTAGGTCCCATACAAAGAAGAGCAGAGAGAAATGAAATCCCGACCGGTCAGTTCCAGGCGCACAGAAGGTAAGTGCTTCTCTAGAAGGTGCATGTCCAAACCTCTTGGGTACTGGGGGCTTGGAAGGTCCAGAGGAGTCTGTGTCCAGCTGGGTGGGAGATTTGAGAGGAGGAGCAGTAGTGCTGAAGTACTCACTAGCTGGTAACTTCACAGCTCAGGGCAGCAAATCGAATAGAGCATAAGTTCAAGTGACACTGTAAATTAGTCTTCAAGGCTTTTTGTTTTAAAGTCAGTCCAACCATGTGATGGTAAACTGGAGTTTACCAGGTGGATTCACCATCAGGGGAGCTGCAGAACCTAAGCATTCCCCTGTATGTTTTGTAGCAGTAGTTTTATGAGCAGAATCTTGTGCCATTAGGAAATGGACACTTGATGTCATCTGGTTGCATCAACTTTTTTTCTATAGTCTTTTGTATCTATAAATGTGAAATTGGCAGTATGGGCAGTAATGGTCTGCGTCCTTGAAGATCTTCACAAAGAAAGGGACGAAGCAGCATCCAAAACAGCACCTACAGCCAAAGGGGAGATGGACAGAGATGATTCACAGGCTTTTCTTTCTGCTGGCCACAGCTGTGCTTTTTCTCTGCCTTATTCTGTCTGTCTTTTCACTGCACAAATCCACTTCTCTTCCAAGTCTATTAATGTTTAAAGGATCTTCCAAAAAATTAATCTTCTTCGCCACTGACATCTTTTGCATTAATCTGATTCTGACACTGATTCTAAATTGCAATAGGGAAGTAGACAACGTTGTAATAATTTTTGCTTTTCTTTTGAAAAGTAAAAACATACTGGGTTAAATTTAGCAGGTTTGCATGCTCTGTAGCCATGATGATTGTATCTAGAATGGACAGAATGTCTTCTTATCAAGTAGAGAAGGGCAAACTGTCTATATAAGCACTAGCTAGAACTTTTATTTTTAATTACTCTTTTTTTAGCCTTCTGCTACTCCAAGTCTGCAAAATGTACATGAAAGCTTACCCAACCATGCACAGGCTGGTGCACAGGAGGTAGGACAGCTTGCCCAGTCTGTAGGTGACCTGGGTGGTGATGTGCTGGCGGCAGGAAGGACATATTGTGGATGTTGGTTTGCTTGAGAAGATCCCTGCTACGATGATCGGGGGCTGAGACACCAAGTAAACTTGAGTTTGAGAGGAGATAGGAAGCAGCAAAATTAGAAGCACAAGAAATACTTTCCAAAATACAGAATCTCAGCTGGGGAATGTAGGTTCTTAACATGGCTCAATGCAGCACCCTTGTTACTATTAATGTCAGATATATTCCTAAGAACCACTGCACTGCTTGTTTCGTGTATTCCAATATGTGGCTTCTAAAAGCAGCCATAATTTACTTGGATAAAGACATCTCCAGGGAATAACCTATGGGATAATCCCCATAGTTAGGCAGTCTCCACCCCCACCCACTGGCAGATGTACTCTGACACTGAGAGTTTATCTTCTGATACTTAAAATAATATGAAAATGCGTGTTTTCTCTGAAGAAGAGATTTGAAGGATATAGAGGAACTTTCTAGATCAACTTTTCAGTAATTATAAGAAATTCATCAAAGCGGCTTCTAACATACAAATGCCATCAGTCAGGTGCTGGTGCCATCCCCAGTTGGTAAAGTCTCCTGCTCATGTTTTCTCAGTTTGAACTTGACTGTCAGACTCCCTGAAGGGCATGACACTTGTAGGTACACGAAGGATATTTTTTCAGAAATGTTTTTGGTCAAAAAATATCGTTTTAATGATCCTAAACAAGTTTAGGGTACAACTTCACACTGTAGCCTCAGGCAAAACTTGAGGAGTGGGAAAGTATCATCTGTTGGATAGATAGGATATAGCATGTCTGAATTTAATTGCCTTCTGATCTGAGGGATTTTTAAAAATGTATTATGTCTTCTTTCCTCCTGTGTGAGATGTTATTGGCTATTCTTTGAAGCCTTTCCCAAGTACCTCCTTTGAGCTTCTCCACTCCCATAAAGGTGAGTAGAGCAGGAACACTGGACTTAAAATGATTTGTTCTGAAAGTCCTGTTGACTTTAAAACTGGAACTGTTTCCCTTTTGTCAGCACGGAGAACCACAGGCATTGTCAGAAATACGGTCCCCTGGCACTTACCTGGTTGCTCAATGGTGGTTGTTTCTCGGTAGGAGTAAGGTGGGGGAGAAGGATACTCATAACCCCCTGTGCAAAGAAAAGCAGGGCAACATGTGAAAGTGCAAACAGCTCCTGGCTGCATCTGTTCCAGGGTAACACTGGAATGATACTTGGTCTGAATTTAGGGACTCCAATGATGAAGTGAGACTTTTTCTCCCCAACTTCTTCTAATCTCTTCTGAGTTTAGCAAGAGGCTTGAGAGGTCTTTAAAGTCAAAAATATTTACAGAGAGAGCTGGTCAGAGTAAAATTCTCTGAAAATTAGACCCCTTTAGAGGCCCAGTATTGACACATCGAACCTTATTAGTCACCCCCTGACCTCCCAGTCCTGTCCGGTAAACGGCAATTCCCTCAACAGCAGGAAGGTAACAAAGGTACAATCACTGATATATCTGTGTGTCTTTCAGTGAGGCAGAAGACAAAGGAGCATTGTGAGATACTTGTGTAGGTGTGAAAGCGCTGCCTGGTTTCAGAGAGAAAAACCAACCCAGCAGAGCAGCAACTGTCGGCACCCACTCGCAGTCTTTGAGCTCAATTGTCAGCACTTCAGTCATGGGGAGGGGTTGTTCGCCCCTACAGAGCCTGGTGCAGAACTGACTCAACCAGGGGGAGCAGCTCCGGTCAGCAGGAGTGCTTGGGAAAAGGCCAGTCCTCTGGAAAACGAGGTGACAATTTAAGCAAGACACAGCCCATCCACGTCCAAAGTTTGCTGGCTGAACATTTGCTCGTTCAGAGGATGAAGTTATTGTAGAGACACAACTGCAATTCCTTTTCCAATAAGGCAGGTGTTGTTTGAAAAATTATTGACTAAATGGACAAAAATATTTGTTGCCATTTTAAATGATGCTTCTATTAGGAGATCCCACCAGCTTGCCTACCCCACCCCTGGGGTTTATATTTTGGCACAAAAGCTTTCTAAACCCATCGTGTCCTGGCACGGCTGGGTCCTGTATGATCCAGCTCAGGTGAGCGCTGGAAACCAGCCATCAGTTTGCCACACAACCCCCGTCGGATGCTCTTTCCAACCAGCCCGGTGAAGCCTCCTTACCCTCCTGGCTGCTGAACTGTGGAGCAGAGGGTTCTTGCCTGTAGAATTCCTGGTGAGGTTCATACATAACCATGGGAATTTCCACACGTCCCTTCTCACTAGACATGTCTGCAGTTCACCTGCCGAAAGCAGTGTGAAATAAAATCGACAGTAAGTGACTCTCAGTGCCCTGTATTTGCCAGTGCCTGCCTCTGTAGTTCCTAGTTCTCACACTCAGGTTTTACTTGGAGGCAGATTAGCAGTTCTCATATTCTGGCTTTTTTGTAGGCTGAAGTGCAGTCAGTTCCTGTACACTTCACGACAAGGAAGATGGAAAAGAAGAGCAGAAAATGCCACATCTTTACGTATTTCTTTGTGCTGGAAAGCTAGAAATGTTCCCCCAGAAAACACACTATTAACAATGTGTAAACTTGTGACTGAAAGTGTTATCTTTGCAGAAAAGTTAACCGCTTTTTTTTTTTTTTTTTTTTTTTTTTTTTTTTTTTTTTTTTTTTTTCCCCTGTGGATTCTCAAAATAATCAAGGAGGGGAAGAGCACACTCAGGAGCACCTGTGAAAACCTCCGCGTGTCATTAAGTCAGTGCAATCAGCAGCAATTCAGATCAGTTGTTCTTTGGGTTATTGTGCAACCTTATCGCCATTGTTATCGTGCCCAGTTTTGTTCTGTGAAACTATTGTCTCATCGGTAGGTGCCAGGCTTTTGTTGGGAAATGTCATTGTTACCTATGACTGCGCTGCCTGAGGCTGTGAACAAGATCAGGTCACAAGATGTGTGTTTTGCAGCTGTTAGCAGGAGCTGTTCCTCACAATGAAGAAGAGGACACGGATTTGTGTTTGTATTACTGCATCTCTGTAAGTGGAAAGGTGTTCATTATTCCTAGCTGACCCCTGAACCAGCTGTTTCCTGCTAACATCAACTGCAAGAGCCCTTTACGGTAGAAAGTTTCAGCCTCTTGCTCAGCTCAGCAAGGAAGGGCAATTTGGGGGCAAATATGTATGGGAAGGACAAAAGACCAGGGAGCAGCAGTGCTGAGATAAAACAACAGTCCTTTAGGGAGGTAGAAAATGAGGAATTTGAAAATATTACTAGGGAAGAAGTGCTGTAATTGTCACAAATCTGCATTGGGGTTTGAATGGGAGGTGGTAGTGGAAAATGGTAGCAGAATGGATAAGAAAGGGAATAGGTAGGATGGTGTGGAGAAAAAATCAGAAATGCAGCATTGGCCATATTTAAGGCCAAAGATGCTGGAAAAATTGCTAATATATGGATTGGAGAGGAGGGATGGACAAAGGTACATCTCACTATGTTTCTTATAAAAGAGCTGAAACAGGTGATTGGGAATGTGAGAGGTATTAACAGGCCTTTGTTGATGAGGATCCCACTGAGAAGAAAAAAGCTGAGTCAAGAGAACTTGGGTAGGATGAAGCTGTGAGATCCAAGAGGGAGTAATCACATACAGAGGAGAAAGACTGTCAATAGTAACTATGGATTCAGGAGTGTGATGATAGAGAATGTTGCATTAGCCAGTATTGACCAAGAGCTGTTCCCTTGGGACAAGGATTAGAGGATAAAATTATAGGGAGTCTCCAAGTTTTTGTCTTATTGCTGTCTTGGTACTGAAACACCACACACTAAATAATGGGTGGTGGCAGTTTGGGTGCCACTTCTGCAGAATTCATCTCCCTCACTGTGAAACAGGAAAAAGAGGAAAGGGCTTTTGAATTCCATCCAGGCCCGGGCAGAAGGGCTTGCATGAGGCACAGAGTAGGAGGGAATAACACAGTGAGAGCGTGTCGAGTTAACTGCTGAGTGCAAGCAAACACTGACTAATCCTGGCTCCACCCTGTGAGGTATGAGGATAATATCACAGCTAAATGTGTAGGACAAGAGATGCAGAAGTGAATCAGCAGCAGAGCCGGGAATAGTGTGGGAGTCCCACTGGGTGCCAGGTTTGTGTTTGATCTGTTGGAGCCACCAAGCACAGAAGCTCTGGGCCATAGGCTGTGGATAGAGCTGGTGCCCCGAATTTGCTCACTTTCAGTGTCTTGTTAAGTGCTTCTTGTAGTGCTGCCAGTAGCTCTGTGTGTTGGGATGAAGGACCTGCCCCAGACCATGAGCTGGGAGAGCTGGATGGGCAGCTGGACCTCAGCTTCTGCAGGAGCCTCTTCAACGTACTTGGGGAAAGTACCAGGGGGTTTAGACACCCTCTGGGCCTGGTTGCTGGAAGTCCAGAGGTCCAGGAAAAGCATTTTGTAGGGTGTGTTATACAACTCAGTAGACCCTTTAATTCTGCACATAAGTTTTTACTCTCAGTTCTTGGTTGCAACCATGTCTGTGATGCCCAAGAGCTTTTTGGGGCTGTGACCTCCAAACCTGTAAGTGTTGTCGCCACAGATCAGAGATAGAGACTTTCCTCTCTTTCAGGTGTGATCATCTTCTGGAGAGGAAGATATGGGAGACAACCCTGTTGGTAGCTCCTTAGGAAAAAGTCATGAGGAGAAATACCAGGCAGCAGCTCCTGAAGAGGAGGAAAATGCCCTATAAACTTCCCTACAGAAACCAGTAACATCCAGGAGGCTCACATTTAATAGCTGGGAAGGTGACAGCAGTTGTCTTCTCTGCAGTCACACTGAGCAAACAGAGCTCTCTGCAAGGGCAGGACAGACCTTGTGTTCTCCTGAAGTGGGGTTGTCGTTTATCTGAAGCTGATTGACTCAAACTACTGCAAACTGCTCGATTTGCAGGCAGAAATGTACAGTGCCAGGAACACCAAAACAATTCAGTGCCTGCCTTCTCTCCTCTGAAGTTTTAGTCTCTTCTGCACATGGGTATAACTGGTTTGCACTGGAAAATAAAGCTCACTTCAAGTCCTGTGGAAATCAGCATTTCACAAAAAAGAAGCAAATCACTCCCCGAGGCGAATACACAAAGAGCCAGTTCAGGGAAAGTAAGGTGGAAATGACAAAGCTTTATGTTCCAGGAAGGACAAATCCTAGGGAAGAATGGACGAGCAGTTTCCATCATCTTTCTCTGGATTTGCTCCAGAGTCTTGTGTTCTGGTGTGAAAAGCAGTCTCATGCAGGCAAGCAAAGCTGATGAGCTGCGAAATTCCATGGCACAGCCCCACTCCCCAGCACCTCACTGACACCTCCTCAGTGTCCCTGCTGGCTGAATGATCCCACCCACGGGATTAGTTCCAAGTGCCTGCAAAGAGGCACAGGCACTGCCCTTTCTGATCGTAAGGGGGGTTCAGCTGAAAATCGAAACACTGGGTAGTACTAATTCTTCTCCTTTCAGGTTCATATCTGGCTATCAAGGGTGGCATCCAGGATTTCAGGCAGGACAGCAAGCAGTGACTTTGTAAGAAAGGTGTTTAATCTCCACTCCAGCTCCAGATGAGATCAGTGTGGGATTTGCCATTCAGTAAGAGTGGGTTCAGAGACAGGAAAAAGGGGACATGGAATTTGGGAGGAAACGTTAAGTGATTCAAGTATTTGAAGAAAATAGGGTAATATGTTCAAAAGTTTTGTATTTTAGAAGATTAACATAAAAACATTATTGTAAGGTATTTTTGCATTTTATGGAGGTATAGCGATTTTCAGCAGTGACCTGTTGGCTTGTAAGATACTGGTCCAAAGGCTTTCAGTTTGCTGTAATGTGTTCTTGTTCTCCTGTCTTCACTAGTTTAATGTTTTCCTGGGCATTTAGCCCTTCCAGCTGGGTCTGTGAGACAATTTAGGTTTCTGATGTTTAAAGACTGACCATAAAATGCCATTGCTGGCATGCAAATGTGTCTGTGGCTTTAATAATATCAAATACCTGTTTTACTTCATTGAAACAGTTAATTCTTGGTTTTGGCTAGCAATGAAACACTGAATTCCTCAGTGGAGAGATCTTTTCCCTTTAGTCCTGAGTTGGTCATTTAAGGTAACATTCACAATGTGCCAAGGCTTTTCAGATGTTCAAGAAGGAATAGCTCCAGCTCTAATATAGACAAACATAGCTGGGGAGCAGCATTCAGGTATTTGTCTATTCTTGTTTTTAAAATAGAAGCTAAAAGAGATGACAGCTGGCAGCAAATTAGAAGTTGGACATTGAAAATTTTTCAGTGTGCCTGAAGTAGACAACCTTTTCAAGGAGATGAAGGATGCTCTGCCAATTCCCCATTCTTTACTCCTGAATTAATTTTCAGTTCTACAGTTATTCCTACTTTTAAGCCTGCATCAGGCTACCAGCCTCTTCAAGTGGAGAGGATGTAGCTGTGTGGGATTCAACTGAATAGACACCATATTTCTGGTTGCAAACTCTTCACCTGATTTCCCTTGGCTTGTCTGTTGACTGCATGGGCCCAATACCCAGTATATAGGGTCACTGCTGCAAGTGGTGAGTGAAAGAAGGTGGTTGCTGATGTGCTGAAGTCATCAGAATGCTTTTGTCATTGAGCCAGGCAGCAGGGCACAACAAATAAAGTCACTGTGTAGATACTGCTCCTGCTTTCGTGTGGAAAGGGATAGTTACGTGTAATCCAAGTCCTCATGGCTTACATGGAAATTTAGAGTAAAATGAGTTCAGCTGTTGTTCACAAAATCATGAGGAAGGGTATACTGAAGAGTGAAATATTAGTGAACTGAGCTCTACTGAGAAAGAAAGAGCTCTTTGCTTTCTCCTTCTTGGGGACAACCTTCTCTCCATCATTCGTGCAGATCAGCAGCCTGGCCCTGCCTCCCTGGGCTCACAAGGCTGCTGGATAGGCAGGGACTCCTCGGATTTTCCAGTCCTGTCCCACATCAGACGTTTATGCTGGGTTAATCCTTCATGAAGGGAGCTCCAGTCTATAATTCAATACATTTACTGCTCCTGTTGCTCTCACCTGAAAGCAATTCAAAGTACTGTAAACTCTCACAAGCCTGCTAGTCTAAAATTATTAATGGTAGTTTATTCCTGTGTGTTATTGTGCCAGCATCAAGCTTTTACAGATCAACCTTCTCCCCTCGAGAGAGCCCAGAGAGCATTCCTGTCCCTTCACAGCCTTTCCTTCTCAGGGCTAAGCAAGGTTTTGAGCCCTCCTCATTTCTGTGCAGTGAATTCATCCTCCTTTTCTCTGCGTGGCCAATGAGCTCTGTCCTCAGCCTGTAGAGTGGTATGAGTGTCATCTTGTATTTAGTGGAAATGCCTGTAGAATAACCCAGTAGCACTGCTTCCTTTTCCACGGGCACACCGTGCTGAGGTTTGTATTTATGCTGTCATTAACCAGCAGTGGGTCTTTCTCCTTCAGTCTCATTCTGTACTAATGAACTCCCAGCTCGGAGCTGAAATTCCTGATATGCTTTTCTAAGTGCACTGCTTTGTAACTTTATAATACATACAAATACTGTCACAGCAGGTCTCTAACTTTTCTCACTCTGAATAATAGATTTTCCACCTCCATAGTTTGTTTCTTCAGTCATACATTTTATTAGCCACTCCTGTATTTCTGTCAAGGTTATTAATTAAAATACTAAATAAGATCCACCACTGATTTCTGTGCTAACCTTTGATGCAAACCAGGTGTATCTCTTAAATCTTGTTCCTTAATTTACTGTTTGAGGTAAATGTTCCCTTCAGATGACCAACTTCACTTGCATTTAAAGGGCACTTATTCTGAGGGGTGAGCACAGCTGAGCCCTGGGATTGCATTAGAACTTGTTCCTCCCTAATTACCATTCCAAAAATAGAGTACTAACCACTAAAGGGAAGTATTGTCCAGTGGTTTGTGCATTAACCTGGATGGGGGGGAAAAAAGGTGAGCTCAGTTCCTGTTCTGCAACAGTGAGGATGAGAAAATTAGTCTTGGTTTTGCTCAGGTTTGTTGTGTATGGAGACACTGTGACAGGGAGGCTCCGTGTCTGTTCTGCACTGACGTGGTCACATTTGGTTGTGCCTTAAAACTTGAGCACAGAAGGTGAGAAATGCCAAGTTTAGATTCAGCTTTTTTCCTCTATTGACACAATTTTTCCCTTTTAGCTTTCAGAATTGAGGGCAGCCTTACCCAATTGTTTCCAGCACTTCATTATTGCCTTAAAATTTGATGTTTGATATCTTTTCATTTGATTCCAGTATAGATTAACATTCCTGTACCAACAGCGTTGAATCATGGGTAGCCAGCATTTCATTTATACCCTTTAAAAAATAATGCTCATAACTTGTCCTTCAATTGAAAACCGATGGAATAGCTCAAGTAACATCTCATACAGCATCTGGAGCTGGTTTAGCAACTTTTGCAAAGTTATTATGAATAAACATCCATTTGAAGAGAGCAGGTGTGTGCCCTGCTTTTATGTGTGAGCTAAGCCCTTTCCTACAGCGAAAACAGTTTCATTAGTGTGACTTTCCATTCTTATTACTGTTCTCATTCCCACCTTATCAGAAAGCTCCTTTTCCTCTTTTCCACCTCTGAACTGTTCCAGGAGAAAGATAAAATACCCTGAGAAAAATCTTTGCCTCCAGATTTTAGGAACATGAGAGAGGCTTGCACATTTTGAGAACCTGTCAATTTAATCATAACAAGTTAACATTTACAATAGAGAGCCACAGCTGTCACACTCCTCGAGCTCCCTGCCTTTTCTAGTCCTTGCCACCTCGCTTTCTTTACTTCCTAAGGAGTAAACACAGCATTGATCCCAGGTGATCTGAAAGCTCTTACCTTTATGTAGCTCTGGCGAATCTGGGGAGGAAAAAAGCTTCAAAAGTTGATCCCTTCATCCATGTCTTTGCACCGTGGCTGTGTCTGGGGAAGGAACACGCACCTGACCAGTGACATGACCTGCTGTCATGCCCCAGTGGCGTATCCAGCTGCAGATGGGAGTCAGTTGGTAGACACTGTATAATTACCCCTGTTCTGCCTCAGCCCCAGCCTACTGCTCACACCTGCTCTGCCACCAAAGGAATGTTGTGCAACAGGCTTGCACCAGAGATTGTTTTTGTTGTTGGGGTTTTTTTCTTTTTTTTTCCCCCCCTAATATCCCAGAAATTTTCCTTTGTGCCAACCTGGAAGCTAATGAAGACAATTAGAAGCAGCACAGGAATAACTTGAGGGCAACGGAGAGAAAAGTGTCTGTGCTGACCCATTGTGCTTCTCTGCAAACCACCACAGAGAATGATGAAAAGCCATGGGTACAGCTGTGTCTGGAGCTCTGTTATTTTATTACTGAGATCAATAATCGCTTGGACTCTCTGATGAATTAAGGGGTGCTTAGATCAGCAAAGATTATCTGTGTAGGGTGATAACCATGGATATTTTAGCTGGGATCTTCTTGGTAACTTGGTTTGTGGCTGAATTGGACTCTCTGTTAAATAGATGCTTTGACTTTGTGGTGGGTTGCCCTTGGCCAGCTGCCAGACACCCACCCAGACAGTCTTACTCTCCTCTTCAACAGGATGGACGGTGAAAATAATATGGGCATTTTCTCTGAATGAGATAAATACAGGGAGATTGCTTACCAGTTAGCATCACAGGCAAACCAGGCTTGGGGGAAATTAATTTGTTGACAAGAAAATATATTTGGATGGTGAGACACAAAGAGAAAAGCACCTCCCCCAGATGCCACATATTCAGCATCTCCAAGTATAATGGTGGGGATGTGGCCCTCTTAGTAAGGATCATTCTTGCTTCATCTGAATCTACTGCAGAAGTGTTTCACGCTAAAGCCTTCCTCCACAACAGGAGCCCATCCAAAGTGTTTCCAGCAAGGATAGAGCATGATGCATTGGGTTTGCCTGGGAGACTCATCACCAGTCCAAAATACGCTGTTTGCTCCTGGGCAAACAAAGTCTTAGTCAAGAAAGGGCTGCAGCAGTGCAGGAAGCCCCTGACCTTGAGAGGTCAGGATTGCACAACAAGTAGCAAAGTGGTGTTGAACAGCTGAGAAACTGCCAGTGGGTAAAGCAAGAAGAGAGGCAACAGTTGTGCACTCCAAGTATTCGTGCCCCTTTTTTCACCACAACTTGGAAACTCCTGAAATAGAGATTTTTGTTGTTAGTGGATGAGTTTATCATCAATTTTGGTGTTATTGGATGCTGTTAGTGGTGACAGCACATCACCTGCCTCTCATCCAGACCTGAAGGAGCAGGTACAGAGCACTTGCTCAGGTTTTCCTCACTGCCAAGAGTGGAGGCTCAGCACTTTGTACACTACACACATGCATCATCACTCCTCTGACGAGTCACATCTCCAGGCTGAACTAAAAATATGGAAGGATGACTGACATAACTGTGGCTGATCCCATTTTTGCTTTTCAAATCATTGCTCTTTCACAGGTTTCCTGTGTGATATTGGGCAAGTTATTCACTCCTCTGTGTTCTCTCCATGTAAAGAAAAATAATAGGCTGGTCAGAATAATTTTAATAGAGATGATAAAATGCTGCTTTATTGAAGCTGAAATGCTTTGTGGAGAGACATTATTTTGACAACATTTTCTCAGGAGAGTCACAGCATGTTCATATAGTAACATACCATTCCTTGAAGAGGTGCTTTAATGTCTAGTGAAAATACTCTATTGAAGAAAGAAAAGAGAGAAGTGTCAAAACAGTAATATCTGTAGGAAAAAAAAATGGAGTCAGGGATAGTCCTTTTATATTTCTAGCATTTGCTTTTATATATGGTAGCTAATATCTGTTAAATGGTGCTTGTGAGACCGTCCCCCTGATCTGAACCTCAGCAGCAGGTTTGTGGACACGTGTATGTCTGTGAGGAGAAAAGCCATGGATACCAAGAAAAGGAGGAGCTTTCCCCACTTTTCAAGTGAACTGCCCATAGTGTGTGAGACTGGGAGGAGGAATGGCTCCCAAGGCATGTGCCACAGGGGGTGTCTGTGTGGAATTGCCTCCCTGCCCTTCCTGCTCCATCCCCGCTCTGTGGGGGTACCACGTGGGTGGTGGGCACGGGCTGGATTTTCTTTCTTTCACTGAAAACCTTGATAAGGTAGGTTAAAGGTGGATTTTTAAATGGCTATGGTTGTATATCAAATTCATATTTCTTTGGGTTAGAATATTTTTCTCCTGAAATATTATTTTTCTGAACATCTGCTAGGTGTTCAGCAGGGCACAGAGTTTGGACTCACCCACAGTCCCCTCTTTGATGTTGACATATAAAATGTTAATTTAGTAATTACGTATTGTTCTTTGTTATGGAGGTGGTAATCATCACTAGCCCTGAAATCTTTCACTCCTTGCTTTTCAGTCACTGTAACATTGCAATCAAAGACACAACCCTTAAGCAGGAAATCAGTCTGTGGGAGAATGGGCCCATTTCTTTGGGGATGGGAGTCTGATTTTTTTTTCCTTGAACAGCAGAGGAAAAGAAGTGATGAAACCATGAGTGCATACAAAAGTAGTCACGCACAAGAAATTCCTCCTGTGATGTAGGGTGGCTTAAGTGCTTAAATATTTAGAACAGACTGAACATACTTAACGTGCTGACAAGTTGACACTTATGAAAGAACCTGACATTGTTGAAGCTCTGAGGGCTCTTTCCAGGAGCTCTGTTTCACCTGCTCCAAGTGGCACTGGGCATGCACATGTTCTAGCATCTTCAGCCTTTATTGCAGGTGAGATGAGGGGATGCAAAGATCCTCTTGTCTCCTGCCATGCCCTGCTGTGGTCACCTGCCAAACTCACCGTGATTCCTCAGCCTGTGGGGGAAGTGAGTGATTCTAAACTCGGATTTACCTGCGTATCACTGGCTTTCTTTTGCAATCTAATTACACTGTTTGCTCTGTGATCCTTAGCAAAGAGAAAGATTTTATCAGTCCCCTTGAATCATTATATCAATCCCTTGAATATCATCTATGCTATCAGAGGTAAGCAAGGGTGCAATAATCATTATGTATTAGTAGATCAAGCTGATTGCTTTTTCTATCATCACAGAAAATATCCTCTTGTTGCATGTAGGAACTTTTCACAATTATTGCTGGTCTCTCTCCTATTTTTGCTTACAGTCCCCAGTATGATGGGAAAACTGGATTCAGGATTTTTATTTATGTTTTTTGTTCTGCATGTAGTTGATAGCCCTAGTTCTGACTGTGGATGTTGTAACCATGGAGTTAAGATCAGAAGGGTCATTGTGTAAATTCTCCCCTGGGGATTTCTGCACAGCAGTTGGTGGAGCCAGAGCACTGCTGGATGTTTGAGCCCTACCTGGACCCGTGTGTCCATGTATCCTGGAGGTTTGGAGCCTGGCCCAGGACAGGACAGAGCACACAGAGAGCCCCTGCAAGGGCAGGGCAGGTCTTCCCCCTGGCCAGCCGTGTTCACCCACATATGAGGGTGGAATGGAGCACAGAGGAGGTTTTTGTGTCTCTCCACTGACTTTAGGGGGGGCCTCATCCAACTGGCTCCTGCTGTGCTCCTTACTGAAATTGGATGTGTTTTTTCCCCTTTGCTCCTTTTTAAATAGTTCATAAGTTCTTTGAAGTGTGATTGTCTCTTTCTTGCTGCTTTGTGCTCAGGTCTAGCCCAGCTGACTGAAACCTCTGTTAAAGCATGACAAAAATAAAGTGGAATCGAGATCTTAGTATAGGTAACTCATATTTTGATATAGCTTCTCTCCTACTTGAAAACTGACATTGAATGAAGGTCCTTTCTTAATAAAGCTTGGATAAAAATCTGAACCATTCTCCAGTTATGAAAAGCAGAGACCTTGTGCACACAATTCCCCTATTTATCCCCTAAACAAATCCCCAGCAGGTATTTGCCCACAGTCAGTGTTACCTGGAGCTGGAAATGTTTTGTAATTTAGGAAATGTCAGTGTCTGTGAATATCCCTGCTCTTGTCTGACATAAACACTGTCTATCATAAATACAGTGCAGGTAGAAAGAATTCTTTTCCCAATTAAAATGCCAGTTTAGTATAGCTGAACACAGCTCCTATTGACTGGGAACTCGCCTCTCCAGTTTGGTATCTGAACGCAACATATTTCTTAGAACACTGATTACACAAGGAGGATAAGAGTGACTCAAACATGAAACATCATTCTTTTCAGATAAGGTCTAGGGATGAGTTGCTTTAATGTGCAAAGTAAATATTTGGGTGACACGTGGCACATAGCTCAAAGCAGAAACCACTTCTATGCAACAGTTTCCACATGAAAAATTGCCTTCAATATGACAAATTATGCATAGGCTTTCTCTAGTAATTTCCTTATTGAAGTGAGATGTAGCAGCATATCATGCAGGAATCTGAAAAAAATGACTGTAACTAATTTAATCCGAGACTCCCAGCCTGCTATAGCTGGACTGTGTGCCAAGCCACAGTGGGGACCATTCCTTAGTTTTGTTAGTAGAAAAAAGTCATTGGTTTTACTTTCTTTCTTTTTTTTCCCTTTTTTTTCCCCTTTTAACATCACAGTTCTAAAAGCTCTGAGCCTGATATCAGGAACAGGGTTGTAGTATTCATTCATTGATGATATAAGGCAGAAAAACTTCAACAGTTTAAATCAAAGTTAATCATTGAATGGAAGGAAAATGAGTGAATGTTTGCCTTGGTTTTCAAGGAACTAAAGATTTTTTTTTTATTTTTTTTGTATTTTGGATGTTGAAAAAGGTCTGCAGTTCTAACTTGGTGTTTGATAATCATATTTTAGAAACAACACATGGAAAAAGTCAATAAGAACATTTCAAAAAGGATGCATATTTGTATTCAAAGTATGTTGTTAAATTTCAGCTGGTTCTGACCACCTTGGCTGTTAATGGTTTCCAGTGGAAATCTCTGTCCTGTTGCCTGAGAA